TTCATGGTGGTCCTCTGAAGCCTATGTGTCCCTCTTTGCCCGGAAGCCTCCCGCCCTGGCCCAAAGTTACCAAGCAACCCATTGTCTGTCACTGGGAAGCTGGGGCCAGCTTGACCTTGTTCTAGCTGTTGGTAGTCCTTCCTGTCTGGTTTGGTGATTTTTTTTCTTCCTTCTTTTGCAGCCTGGGTTTATATCCCGCTACACACAGGGTTAGGTAAGCACATTTCAGTTTACTTCTCTGTCGCTGACAAAGTCAGTGTAGGGAAAGGTTTGTGTTTGGTCACAGTTGGAGGGCACGGTGCCCTCGTGGTGGGTGGGGAAGATGGCAGGGACATGAGGCAGCTGCTCACATTGCACCTGCTGTCAGGGGACAGATGGATGCTGGTGCCCTACTCACTCTTTCTTTTTATTTAACATGGCACCCCAGATCACGGGACAGTGCTCTCTTCACAGTAAGAGTGGAACTTCTCACCTCAGTCTAATTTAGAAACCCCATGTCCTAAGTTCATTTCTGTGGCTGCAACACACTCCACAAAGAAGCGTGAAAGGATTTATTCAGCTTATGGTTTCAGGTTCATCATTGCAGGGGAGTCAAGGCAGGAGCTAGAGGAAGCTAGCACAGGCTAGAGCAGGAAGAGGATGGGTACGCACATGCTCACTGCTCAGATCACTTCTCCACTGCCATACAGTTCAGAACCCAACCCCGCAAACAGTGACACCCGCTTTTAGACCTGGTCCTCCTACATTAACCAGCGTAACCCTGTGATGCTCACATGCTAACCTGATCTAAGCATTCCTTCATTCAGACTCTTTGACAACTGAAACCATCACGTCCCCTCACAGAAATGTCCAAGGGTGTGTCTCCTGGGTAATTGTAGATCCTGCCAAATAGACAGTAAATATTAATGTCTGAGTCAAATTCTGATTCCATTGAATATAGGCTAAAGTTATCTCTCCAGAAAAGCGGGTCTTTCTTTTATAACTCAAAAAAAAAAACCCCAATACTAAGTCACTCACACTCGTATAGCCTAAGAACTTCTCCAAAATGGAGTAATATAGGATGGAAAATCCAGCTCAGCCTGAGAGCAAGGGGATCATTGTGGTCATTGTCATTGTCACCACTAACAGCTTCTCAGAGAGGACTGCACATACTTCTCCCCAAGACTCCCCAAGAGTTCAGTTATATGTCATCCCTGTAAACATTTAGGTGAGTGCTTTTATTACCCCAATTATGTAGACAAGGAACCTGAGGTTCAGAGTCATTATACCTTACTCCAAATTGCATGACTAGGTAGTCTAACCCCAAAGCCCAGGCTGCAACACTTTCAGCTTCAAGTCTCTTTTCCTCCTGTCTGAGTATGGGCAACGGAGACATGAATAAACAGAAGTTCCAAGAAACTACTCTGGGTGCCAGTAAGTCATAGGCACCCTCATTTTCCATAAGAATATGAAACCAAACAGGGTACACCATCATGGGAATACAAAAAGAACTGACCTGAACCCTCAGCAAAGGTCTTCTCGAGAGAGATAACCATATGAAAAAATAGACAGTTTATCACTGGTATTTCTAACATAACTTAAGGGCATATCATAGCTACCAAAATGAGATTTGATAAAGAGAGGAGATAAAAATGATGGGTGTGATAGTAAACACATCACATATATCTTTGCTGGGATGTTTTAGAGACTGGCATCAGAATCAGGGGACAAAAGAACTAATCTAAACTGGGTACAGTGGCTCATGTTGGTAATTTTAGCACCTGGGAAGCTGAGGCAGGAAGACAGCAAGCTTGTGAGCAGTGTAGGCGACAAAGAGGCTGAAGCATACTGAGGTCTTGGGCTACTGGATCACCCGAGGTCTGATGTAAGGAAGAGACCTCACAGATAATTATGCACAGCCAACTGCTAGAAAGACTCAGTCCCCTAGAACAGTCCACCTTCCAAAGCAGCACTAAATCTCTCCTGTAACATTCAGGGAGAGACATGTTACTTAAAGTGTGGAAATTAAATGACCATGAAACTCATTTATCATTTCCAGATCACTTACAATTATATCCAGATCTACAAAGTAGCTTTGGGGACCAGTCAGGCTTGATTTTGTACAGCTTTGGAGGAGGAGAAGGGTGGGCTTAGAGGACAGTCTCATGCAGATGACCTCAATCTCCTGTTTCTCCGGCCTCTGTTTCCAGAATGTTGGGGTTCCAGGTGTGCATGTTTCCTGGTTTGTGTAACCTTGGAGACAGGCTAGAGATGAGACCTGGGCCTTATGCATGCTAGGCAAGCTCTCTAGCAACTGGCCTATATCTGCAGTCAGTTCTGTATGACTTTGTCAAGAGGCCCAGCCTCTGAGGAGCCAGGGTCCTTGTCCGTACTACAGTAGTATCAGGGCTCTCCAGCTGTCCCACACACTGGGGCAGGGCCTAGGAACTTGCATTTTCTCATAGTTTCTAGATGCTTCTGTTTCTGCTCTGTGGGGAAGGGGTCAGCAATCGAGAGAGAACACTAGTCTGATTTGGTTTCCCCTACAAGTGTTGAAACCAACCAACCAAAACAAACCAAAACAAAAATGAATGAGTGATGGAGACTATGGAGCGTACTAAGCTGGAAACAGTTACAGTGTTTGTACAATGTATTTTGATCATATTCACCTCAATGCTTCCCAGATCCTCCTCTCCCACCCTGCTTTCCCTGCCCACCCAACTTTGTATCTTTTTTTTAATCTATCAGGTCCCATGTGTATTGCTCATATACACTTGGGTGTGTGGCCTCCCACTACAGCATAGTTGATCAGTTTTCTGTAGGTTTGACATTCTCCCAAAATAAATGCTGCTACCCCAGGTCCCACCTTCAAAAGCTGTGAAATGCTATGGACAGGGAATGCGCAGCCCAGCAGAGCAACTGAAGGGTACTATTTAGACAAAAGACAACTTAAGAAGTCCAATCAATGCCAACCTCTGCCCTTCACATCCAAAGACTTACAGTTGTCCCTGAAAGGGCCACTCCTACAGACCGGGGACACCCGAATCTGCTCCTTGGCCTCCCTGTTTCTGTATCCCAGCCAGTTACCCAACAGCTCCAAGATTCTCTAGACGGTATTTGGGGCCTACAACCCCTAAATGTGGTGTCCTGGCCTGCTGAACCTATTAAGTTGGGCAATGATGGGTATAGGAAGGGTTCCCCGAGCTTCCTGTGCAGCAGCTCCCAAGACCCTTAAGGGACAGATACCCTCACAGCCCCCCTATCTGCTGTGTCCCAGGAAACCTAGAGGAATCAGGAGCAGCAGTCTGTACTGTCCCCCACCCTGAGATTACTGCTCTAGCTTCTGTCCCCTTGTCCCATGACTCTCTTCTCCTCAACACACCAAGCATAACAACATGCAATGCGAGTCATTTCTTGAGGTCTTCATTTCCTCACACACTCTATGCCATTTAAAACTCATTTTGAGCAAGTATGTGCCTCTTTCTTGTAAATCTATCTTGAGTGAAGGAAGCCCCGGTGAAGAATGTAATAGTTCATGAGAGAAAGGCAGCTTTCTTGTCCTGCCCTTTCTACAATTGCTAGTCCCCAGTACCCTTGTTAGGAAAATGACAGGCACTTCCTGGGAATGAAAGAAGGGTCTTATCCAATGCTTCACAAAGAGCTACTCCATAAATGCTCCACTGGCCATGACAACTGCCCAGGTCATGACTGCTAATATCGATACCATGACTCACTGACCAGAGTTATGGAGGAAAGAAAACCAACTTATTTTAGAATGTATGGAGATGAGAGAAAGACAGACAGGGACATACATACAGACAGACAGAGATTTGGCTGAGGCAAAAGAGAAAGACACATAGGGAAGAATGAAAGAGGGAGAGAAAGAGAACAAATGAATGTTTTGTGTGTAAGAAAGGCTATTGCAACTGAGGGTGGTGGTATACATCTGTAATCCTAGCACCCAGAAAACTGAGGCAGGAGCGTCCTGTGCTGGAAAAGAGCCTGAGCTACATAGCAAATCCCCATGGAGTCTGAGCCTTGGTGGCACATGCCTTTAGTCCCAGCACTTGGAGGAAGAAGCAGGTGGATCTCTGTGAGTTGGATTCCATCCTGGCCTACATAAATGAATTCCAGGGCACCCAGGGCTACAAGACCTTAAGAGAAGGAAGGAAGGAAGGAAGGAAGGAAGGAGGGAAGGAAGGAGGGAGAAAACAAAGGAAGGAAGGAAGGAGGGAGAAAACAAAGGAAGGAAGGAAGGAGGGAGGGAGGGAGAAAACAAAGGAAGGAAGGAAGGATACTTTCCAAAGACACAAGTCAGGATGAGTGATGGCTGGGGTTAAGCATCATCAAGTGAGTCATTGTCACCTGAAGATGTAGCAGTCCCTGAAGGATGACACTGCAGGAACTCTGCAGTCTCTGCCACCAGCTGGGAAGCCAGGCCCTTCAGAAAGACAATCAAAGGACACACACAGTGTCCTTCATGAAAGGAGATTCCACTCTCTGTGGGAAATCTGAAGACACACAGAGAGAATGTGTGTGGAAATAAATAGGGTGAACGTGGTGTGTGGAGGCAAAGATGGAATGAACACAGCTACACACCAAGGCCACCGCTGATGACCACCAGCAAAGCCGGCATCTACCCAGAGCCTCGGAGCCTGCTGACATCTTGAGTTTGGACTTTCAGTCCTGAGAGTGACAATACATGTGGCAGCTCAGCTATGTGGCATTGGTTATGGTAGCCTTAGCAAGCCAAAGCAGAAGACTGGGCCTGTGTCATGGTTTGAGTATGAAATGTCTTCCATAGATACAAATACTAAAGGCCTTGTCCTCAGTTGGTTGTGCTAGTGGGAGGGAATTAGGTCATTGGGATGATAGCCTCATGAATGGATTAGCACATTAATGAGTTTATAGCTGAATTGCTATTAGGAGGCGGACCCTAGTGGGAGGAAGTGGGTCAATAGGATGTGCCTTATGACACAACTTCTCTGAGGTCACTTCCTCTCCCTCTGTTTCTTGGCTGCCATGAATGAGAAGCTTCCCTCCACCCTGTTCTTCTGCTACAGAAGCCAGCCTCACCAAGACCATATTATCAGTGGAGGCAGCCAGCCATGGTTAAAAACTCCACACCCGTGAGCTGGAATGAACCCTTCCTCTCTTAATGGCTCAGTGTAGGTATTCTGTCACAACAATGGGAATCCTACCTGCACAGTCAGACCAGAGTTCAAATCTTAGCTCTCCTACTTGTGAGTTAATGGAAAGTGAAGGAGATTTAGTTAATTTCCCCAATTCCACTTCTATAAGATGGAGAAAACAGCAACCCCTTTCTTTCAAAGTCTTAGACTCCAAGTGGCCTTGACACTTAGTCTCCAAGATGTGTCTCAGTGGTTTCTGCCTCCCAAGGTCCACTTTTTTGTTTCCACACTGAACAGGTGTGCCTTACAGAAATATAACAATGGAAATTCCAAGGTTGTGACATAAATGACACTGAATTTTCTACCTCCTGTGTCTCCCAAGGACATTCAAGTACCCAATGAAGAACCAATGCTCCCAGACCACAGCTGACCAGTCACAAGAGTGAACGATCTGGAAGTGGGACTCCATCTCCAGCCTCACCTTCATACAACTATGGCCAAGATAGCTGAAATCTTGGCAATAGCCTCCTGAGAGACTCCGAGCTTAGTCACCCAGCCAGGTGGCACTTGATTTCCTAATCCATTAGAACTGTGTGAAACCATCATGCTAGTTTTAGTAATGACTTTGTGATGTAATCACTTTCCTTCATGGGTAATAAAAGCCTTAATGACACACACGCAAAACTCATTTCAAAAAGAATGATCATCACTTGTTTCTGTTATAACAACTTATCAGAACGCCTTCAAAGGGCTTGGCTGCTAATCCCAGTTTCCTGATGGTCCTCACATGTCCAGTTCCAGCTGTCAACTAGATACTTACACTGGGTATAACAATGGCAGTACGTCCCATCTTTCTTGGTGCCATTTCATAATCACGGAATGACGTCACCTTCTACCTCTCCTTTACAAGGCACGGCATTCCTACCTATGGCCACGAATCTCACCTCTCTGACCGAATTTGCTTTCCTGTGGGTGGCAAAAGACTATTATTATGTACTGATTATTATCCAGTACATAACTCTCTTTCTTTCTCAGTATTGTGGCTTCATCATTTGGCTTGACGGCTTTGTGTGTGTGTGTGTGTGTGTGTGTGTGTGGTATGTGTGTAGTGTGCATGTGTGTTGTCTGGTGTGTGTATGGTGTATGTAGTGTATGCATGGTATGTGTGGTGTACATGTGGTGTGTGTGTGTGGTATGTAGTATGTGGTATGTGTGTGTATGTATGTGTGGTGTGTAGTGCGCATGTGTGGTATGTGTGTGTGATTGTGCGTATGTGTAGTATGTGTGGTGTGTATGTATGTGTGGTGTGTGTGTATGTGTGTGTGAGGTGTGGTATGTGTGTGTATGTATGTGTGTAATATGCATGTGTGGTGTGTGTGGTGTGTGTCTGTGTGTATGGTGTGTAGTGTGCATGTGTGGTATGTGTGTGTGTGGTACATGGTGTGTGTGGAATGTGTGATGTGGGTGTATAGTGTGTGGTGTGTGTACTGTATGTGTGTAGTATATGTGTGTAGTGTGTGGGGTGTATGTGTGTGTAGTGTGCATGTGTGTGCGTGGTGTGTAGTATGTGTATATATGTGTATGTGGGTGTGTGTGTGGTGTATGTAATGTGCATTATGTAGTGTGTGTGTGTGGTGTGTGGGTATGTATGTGTAGGGTGTGTGTGTAGTACATGTGTGTATGTGTGGTATATAGTGTGGTGTGTGTGGTATGTGTGTAGTGTGTGGTGTGTGTGTAGTGTATGTGTGCAGTGTGTGGTGTGTGTGTAGTGCATGTGTACAGTGTGTGGTGTGTGTGTGTAGTGTATGTATGCAGTGTGTGGTGTGTGTGCAGTGCATGTGTGTAGTGTGTGGTGTGTGTGTAGTGTATGTGTGTAGTGTGTGGTGTGTGTGTGGTGTATGTATGCAGTGTGCGGTGTGTGTGCAGTGCATGTGTGTAGTGTGTGGTGTGTGTGTAGTGTATGTATGCAGTGTGTGGTGTGCATGTAGTGTATGTGTGCAGTGTGTGGTGTGTGTGTAGTGTATGTGTACAGTGTGTGGTGTGTGTGTAGTGCATGTGAGTAGTGTGTGGTGTGTGTGTAGTGTATGTGTGCATGTGTGTGGTGTGTGGTGTATGTGTAGTGTATGTGTGCAGTGTGTGGTGTGCGTGTGTTATGTAACAGGCAAGCACCTGTCACTGAGCTGCACCCCCCGGCCTGTCTTGAATGAATACACATCACTTCAGTTAGACTGGAACTCTGGGCTCTCTCTCTGTCTCCCCCCCACCCCAGCCTTGTGTGTAGGCACAGTCTGAGAACAAAGCAAGAAGTGAACAGTGTAAAAGGGAAATGGAGCACCCAGCTGGCTGCTTTTCCATCCTTGCTGTGACCTTTGGCTCTTCTAAACGTAGTTACACACAGATGATAGCTGCGAATTAGCACTGGCCATTAATATCTGTGATGAAGCTGTTTGCTTTTCTTTTCTTTTTTAATGTGTGTAGTGTTCTGCCTGCTTGTATGCCTCTAGGCCAGAAGAGGGCACCAGATCTCATTGTGGATGGTTGTGAGCCACTGTGGTTGCTGGGAATTGAACTCAGGCCTCTGGAAGAGCAGCCAGTACTTTTAACTGCTGAGCCATCAATCCAGCCCCCATGAAATTATTTTCTGTGTCTTGCTCTTTTGGTGATTTGTCCCCCATATGGGAAATGATACGTGCTTTTCTTTCTTCTTTCTAACTCAGCCTGTAACAAAAGCTGAAAATATGAGGCAATTAACCAACCATGCACTCCAACAGATAAACCTGGAAATGTGCATCATAAGAACACAGCCCAGTAACAGAAGACCTGGAATTTCACTCATGATAGGAGTGGAAGCACATTTCTCATCTGCTCAAGTTGACATCAGAGAGGGACTATGACTTAGTGACAATTCCCCGATGCCCCACTTTTGAGAGAGTATGGAAGTGAGAAGAAGGGATGTGATACTTGGTCTATGTAAGGACAGCTTTGTGACAAGTTATAGAAAATGAGTCAAAACATCAGGCCAACATCTTGGAGTTGTGGTTTAGTCAATGGCATCCTTGCTTAGCAGGCACACAGAGCCCAGGTTTGACCTTTAGCACTGGATAAACTTAATGTGGAGGTGCACACCTGTGATGTCAGCCCTCGAGATGCAGAAGCAGGGAATCGGAGTTTAAGGCTACCTTTAGCTACACAGCACATTCAAAACCAGCCTGGGTTATATGAGACCCTGTTTTGTTTGTTTGAAAAAGGAACAATAAACTGTGTTTCAAGAGCTATGGTATAGGGAACTCAGATGTGACAGAAAGGCAGACATGAGACTTTGGACAAAAGCAAGAACCAGTGACTCTAGGCTTCCGACAGTGGGAACTAACCCTTGGGCATCTTTATTTGCAAGCCCCAGTGGGGGGAGCCATCCCCCACCCATTCAGGGTGTTGCATCAGGAGCTCTGACTGCCTCTTCCCTTGCTGTCACCACCCATGTGATGACAGATGGAGGGTGTTTTCAGTACTTGTTCTTCTCTTGAAAACAGTATAAATTCTGTCAGGGAGGCCTCAACAGTCATGCATTACAGAATCTGCTCCCATCCAGCCATCATAGTCTTCCCTGTACAAGGGACAAAATCCAGCCTCAAACCATCTTCTGGGGCAGACATGGCTGAGACAAGCTGAGTCATAGTCATAGCAATGCAGGGCTGTCGAGGGGTTAGATGATAAGTAACAGAGAAACTGTAGTTGCATCTTGGTAGCTGTGTCTCCTACAGTCAGAATGTTCTTTGTGGTCAAGCATCCTTGAAGATTTCGGCTGCTGGCAATGCACCAGAGACTGAGGTACCAGGGCATCCCCCCCACACATGTGTGTGTGTACTAACAAAGAGTCTGCACCGTCCAAACGCCTGACATCATCATATGTAATTTGAATTGTGGTTTGACACCTTCCCTGCTTTGTGGGGATCATGAGAAGCAATACCCTGAAAGGGAGACCCTGTTGACCATGACCTGGGAGAGGGAATGGGTCGCCTTACTCTATAAATATTTCACTCCTCTCATAATGATTCATGAAAATGTCTTTAAAATCTATACTGCAGAATCCACTGAGTGGCTCACTGCCTTAGGCAGCTCTCTCCAGTCTTGCTTTGAAGTATTTGCTTTGGCTCCATTGACTAAATAAACTGCATACATCTGATACACCCTGCCACAGTAGCGAGCAGCTGGGGGTATCCAGGCCTGTCTTTTTCACCTAGCACCCTGCGATCTTTTCCAGACACATCCTCGGGTAGGTTCTGAGCACAGTGCCTGTGGTTTTAGAGGCATTCAACAGGTCCCAGCAGCAGCTGCTACAGTCATCATCACCCTGAGGGCTTCTCCTGGAACAGGCTCTAGTTCAGTCTATAGAAGGCTAGAGAGAGTGCCCTTGGGAAGTTAGGGTTAGTAGATTTAAAAATAAATCACCATGTCTGGGTAGACATCTCTGCTCGCTGTCTACGCTCTTCTCCGGGTATCTCCAGCTTGACAAAGTCTCTGCTGCCCACAGCAACACCTATTCCTTCCTGCACCCTGCTGTGTTTCTGGTCGCCACTCTGATTCAAGCTGTCTGGTATCACTGTTTAAAAAAGCCCTGGCACTTACGCCTCCCTTAGTCTCTTCCTTGGTGAGGCCAATCAAAGGCAGCCCGGGTGTTTCACAATAAGAGAGCTGCAAGGTTGGGACCCTGCCCCTGGGCACAGTTCCCTTCCGTGCCCAGCCATTTCAAAGCCCAAGGCTGATTACTTGTTCAAGGTTGGCTACGTTACCATACCAGGGTTGGCATATGCCTGTTGATCAGACTGGCCACTGGCTTGTTAGAGAGCTGGGAAGATGGAGCTAATTCCATGTGAGTTTTAAGGGATGAGAGGGAAGGGTCATCGTTTCCCTACAGAAAACATGGATGCTGTCAATTGATCATTGTTGAGGGAACTGTGAGAGGGCCACACTACCAAGTATCACTGCATGTGACCCCTAAGAGGGGCAAACACATTTCAAAAGAAAGTACTACAGGCCCCGACTTGGCGGTGAGAGCTGTATGAGGAAGAAGTGTGAAGAACCAGGAATTCCTTGTCCGAATTCCTTGTCTTCTCCCTCCCATTTTTATTTATTTATTTATTTATTTATTTATTTATTTATTTATTTTTATTGTTTCACCAAGAAGTTGGTTGATTTTCTTTTTCTGAATAATGCTTTGTTAAAACAAAGAAGCATGTACTCAGTAGTGACTAATTCATCTGCCCCTTTAAAAATTAAGAAATTCTGCTGGGCAGTGGTGGTGCACACCTTTAATTCCAGCAATCTGGAGGCAGAGGCAGGTGGATCTCAGTGAGTTCAAGGCCAGCCTGGTCTACAGAGTGAATTCCAGGACAGTCATGGCTTTTAAACAGAGAAACCCTGTCTCAAAAAAACAAACAAAAATTTTAAAAATTCTAATAATGGAGAAGCACAGACTGCATTGTTACTAGAAACATTAAAGAAGACTTTCTTGTCCTTCCTATCTTTTTAAGGCCCTAGGAGGACTCCCTCATTTAATAACTGAGGTCCCCTGGTATGTACAAAACTCCACAGGCAGACAGACTGCGTTAACAGTCTTTGTGGCTCAGTGAATAATTCTTCGGGTACACAGCCCATAGAAATCCTCTATGCATC